GCACAACACAACACAGCTGTGCTTCTTTGAGGTGTTCACCAATTGACCCAAAGAGTGACTTCAGCATTGGAACACACTAACTGGTGCACACGATCAGCCTCTCAAATCTCTCAGTTTGATGAAAAAACTGCTTTGCGTACAGTAAATTTACATTCAGTGTTACTGTTAGTCAAGGCAGACAAGTTTTGTTACGCAGGCAACAGGGAGAAAATGATCTGTACTTACAGCCAGGAAATCTGCAACTTTGGCATCGATTTCATTCTTGGGTTTCCCACTGTCTCCTTGAAGGTTGAAAAAAATGACCATCAGAATGCATTATCACCAATGAATGGGGGTACATGCCCTGGGCCGAGAATGAATATGCAAAGAAAGCAACCAAAGGCTAGATGATTTGAGCCTGACCTCTAACCACTGACTCAAGTGCTGCCGAATAAGCAGGACTCCGTATGGAGTTTAGCACTGTCTGGCAATGGAGCGCAGCATAGAGAGGTTGAGTAGAGGCAGTACATGATACAGTGCATTCCACGGAAGGACTCCGCACAAGATCCAGCATCGACACAGTATGGAACCCTGAACCAATTTGTAACTGAATGCGCACAAAAATATAGCATCATCCCTGCATCTTCGTAGGGGTGCATGATGCTCACAGTATGATGGTTTCCACCAACAGTGCGGCCTACTTGTGCAGGGCTACATGTATTACTGACAAAGAGTGTTTCTGCTCAAGGAAACTCAACCGAGGACCAATTACAATGACACACAAACTTCATGACAGCTTGGCTTGTCACCATTTTTTTACTCAGTATTTCCTGTACATGAAACATTTCTTCGCTTTGTATAGTTTCTTCGGAATCAGCCATGGTCGTGATAATATTCATGAGTAAATACCTCCTCCTTGTTGACTGTCTTGGCTCTCCTCATCACTGTCGCCATAGTGACCGAGAAGACCACTAAGTGGATTATGACCTAAAAGACACCCCAAAAACCAAAATGCTTGAATGTAGGATTATTTCCACAGGAGTTTCCCTTGTTTTGCGAGAACTGTTTTCAAACAAGGTCACATCACGCAATGGAGGAATTGGTCTTATGTTACATGTAAATTGAGCATGTTTAAAACGTCCATTTTTCACTGAAAAACTTCTTTGAGTAACGCCAAGGTCAATGAGGTAAAGTCCATACATTGCAGTTAGTTCCAAAATTCAAAGCTTCCGAAAAGTAACAATGGTACCCTACCGGGTTGGTACAAACGTATATGGAGCCGCAGGCAACAAATTATTGAATAATTTTGTTTTATCTAGAGTAACCCCAAGTTGACATTCTTGGCCTGGATGCTTTCCTACTCCTCTATAACCCAAAACAGCACAATGAACCAAGGAGGCCTTGTCACTCAAAATACTGCAGAAGGTGGCGTTGGGGAATGAATAATTCATGGATTAGGGGAAGCTACACATGTAAGTTTAAACTGGGACTAAAGGGTGAACATACCAATTTGGGGTCGGGTGGCCTCTTGAAATGTTGACCCAAAAGCTCCTGATGGGGAAAAAAAACCTTCATTAGGCCATGAGACTGAACATCCCGGATTTCCGTCCGGACAATTTTGAAAACCCATGAGGCTTTTTTCCTTTAGGCTAGCGCAAGTAGTTGGTGTACATACCGCACATTGACAGAGAGTACGCGTCCATGCAAAGGGAAACAACCTTGAAAGTAGACTGGCTCTGAATCCTTCTTGCATCACGCCATTTGTACTCAGGTGCACTACGAACTCTCAAGTTACTTTGCAGCCATTTTTAAACCCTTCCCGACAACGGGAAAAACAACAATTTTCTGAAATAATAACTTTTTTTGGCAGCTGTTTCAGCGGTAGGTTATATGCGGATGGTGGATGGATATTTATTCTCAGGGCCTTAAATCACAGATCCACTTATACAATGTTCAGAATTAAATATATCAGAAATATATACCTTTTTTATAGTTCCAATCTCCTACAACTAATGTGATTAAGAAATTGAGTCATCACAGGGTGCCCTCTTACCAACTCCATCTTTTCTGGTTGAGGATGCAGAGCCGATCTGTAGCTTGGTTCGTCGTTTGGGAGCACTCTCAAAGGGTCGCTCTCGTTTCTTTCCCATGGCTAGTAAAGAGACAATAGGGGCCTAACTGTAAGATGTTGTCACGGAAATTTCCCACTGAATAGCTGAAACTGGATGGACATGAGCTGATGAGTGAAGGGGGCATAGGCCTGGCCCTAGGCCAAATAATCACTACAATTTAGTACAAATCATGACTTAGTGCGTAGCCCTATTTTACGGCCGGCCGTCGTCGCGCCCCCGATGACACTGACTGATGAAGTTTGACTTTGAGCTTTGTTAATCGATGTATTCACAAGGCCTACACCTCATTTCATTTCTTCCGAATTTCATTTACTGAGGTGCCTCGAATATCAGACAGTTATCTTATTAAATATAAATTATTACCAAACGATGAATTTACCCCAAAATATCTATTACACCACACACTTCACTGCGACACGCTGACGATCGTCCTACATGCCCTGAGCTTCTCTGGATCGCTGCTCCTCTATGTCCTCGAAAAGTTGCCTCTTTCATGCATTGAGCTATTTCATTGGTCAGATGGGATATATGTTAAAATATCAACCTATCAAAATTTTTGTATTTAATAAGAGCGTCTTTCATGTCTTTACGATATAAAAGAAACTTGTTATGATTCGCTCAATTTTTTCTAACTCGGTCATTCTGCCCAATCAGCTGACACGTTTCATAAATAATTTTATATGCTAACTTAGTATGAACGCAAGAGGGCGGTATTTAATTTGCAACATTCACGCATATTTCGACGTCACGTCGGGTCGTGTGCGAACTGTTGAGCTGACTGTGGCCTGATAAAAACCCTATTCTTTGGAAATTTTCTCGCAGTGTATATAAAGCCTGCAGGTTGCTATCTCTCTGGTGACGCGCACTTCTACACCGGCTAGACCAAGCTTCAGCATTCGTCCTGAGCATTCTTTTGTGTGAGTATTTCCGTGGTCCTTCATCATGTTCATCGTGTTGTTGGCCGAGGAGTAGGAGGCCTGCTCATTGTCACTCAATGTTGTCAGGTGACTGTCGATTTGCCTATGTATAGGGGTAGGCTTACCGGCCTATGTCACGTACTGTGTGACACAGGAAATATGTATGTGATTCTGAGGGAGAGACCACCATGTGTAGCCTGTCTGCCTGTAGCCTAGCCTACATTAAATTAATGCATGGAGGTCTGTGTGTTCAGCACAATCTTTGAATGAAAGTGTGCAAAGTTTAACTTTGCACAACTTCCACAAGTTTCCCTCAGCAATTTTTATTAGGTTGCACATATTTTAAATTTGCGCAGTTAACGTTGAGCACAGTCTTTGAACGTGCACAGCTTCTGTCATCTTTGTGCCTCGAAGTGCAATTCTAAGCATGCTAAAGTAAAAGGGAGTCATGATGGTTAACATTCGACAGGGCCCAGCTGGCAGCGCGGGGATTCCCATTCCCTTCGAAGTCTCCAGCTAAATGGCATCAGTCGAGCTGGGAAACTGTCGCTTGAGTAAAGACTAGGATTCCAGTACAAACTAGTCATTTTGCAGGTCGTTTCAAAATCCTTATTTTCCCTGATATTTATTTTGTCTGGGATCTTACTTTTTATTACAGACATACATGTAATAATAGATGTATGGCTTTAAGAATTGTCTGAATTTACTGTCAACAGGGCAATTTAGTAGCTCTCACAAAGATTTTTTTATAGGGAAGCAAAGTCCAAATTAAATGCCGACAGGGGAATTTAATTGCTCTCGTGTGGCAATATTCTTCAAAATACTTGAAGGGCGAAATTTCTTGCGGCCGGCTGGCGTGTTGTGTGACGTACTGTGCCCCGGCACCATAAGTACATGTGTATGCCATGCTGTACATACAGTGCATGCAGCAGGCACGTCATGTGCGAAACAGACCCGACAAAATTGTGCAAAACATGCACTTGATGTCAGTCTCTTACACATGACTGTTGCCTGTGGTTCATGTATCCACACATGTTATCCCTGTGCGGAATTTTTTTTTTTTTTATCTGTCACGTCTGTGGTTGTGCAGAATTCAAAAATTGCACATGCAAATTGTAAATTTGCACACTTTCTAAGAAATCTTGTGCTCAACATGTGCAAACTGCAATGCATGCCATTTCAACAGTGCAGTGGGCATGTACGCTGTCGGTACTCTGCAACCATGGCTAGTGGCTACTGATTTTTACAGTAGTATACCAGGCAAGATATGGGATGGAAGGGTACCCCCCCTGCCTGTCCAATTCCTATACACACTGTAGACTATTGTTACCTAACACATCCCCCCCTAGAAGTCTGTAAAGAATTCCTGAGATTCCGATCAAACAATGACCAACACAAAGGCGGCGGGGGTTCTCTCCGTCCCATATCTTGCTTCAAATGCACAATAGACTGCAATAGTCTATACTTTATGCATTCATCCGGGAGTTTTCGCAACCCAAGGCAAAAACACTGTTGACTTGTCATGATGTAGTGCTTTGTTTTTACTGCAAAAGCCATGAGAATAGAGGTTGTAGATTTGTGTCCTAACAATTTCCAAAACACATGAGGCTTTTTTTTTCATTTTTCCTTATTCAGTGTTTTATTTCAACCTCCAAGTACAGACATCTTTCAAGTATAATACTGCCAAACTACAACCAAAAGCCTTACTAAGAGATGAACTACATGTAGGCCCTTCATCAGTTCGTGGATCATTTCAAATAGGGATCATCACTACAAAAAAGACCTGCTGTAAAACGTACACAAACGTGCACAAACGTGCAAGCCGATCCCACACACGGGGGTCATCCATATCCCCAGACTTGTGGGGTTTGACATCTGCCCGGCTCCCACATTCATGGGAACGGGGCGGATGTTGGACCCCTTAGTTCTGGGGGAAGGTCTGCCATAGGTTAGCTCAAGCAGACATCTGTATACGAAAGCCACCTAACCTGAGCTAACTATGGATGAAATGCATAAATAAGGGTTTTTATCCAGCTGCTAAAAGATTCTGAACCCTGACTTTTGTGACTTCGTGTCTCTTTCTTACAAATAATGAAAGGTTTGTAAATAATGATGGGGGCAGTGGAATTAGGACATGTGGGTGTTGGACGCAAATCTACAAATTCTGTTCTCATGGTCACTGACCATTGACCATGCTGACCATCGCTGTTACTTGATTGAACATCAAACTTGTGGATGCCCCAAAATGATAGGCCTACACCGGACACGCCCTAGGCCTACTTTACTTTAGAGTTAAAATGACATTGACTGCCAAACATGGCCAAGTTAAGACTAATGCGTTTTAGCACTCGTCTTGCTGAATTTGTCCCAGACAAAGTTAATTAAAAGTTGCACAAAACTTGAAGGTTCACCGTGTTCACAACTATTAAGAAAGCTTGATTTGGTGAATTACATGTAGGTGAATTCCCAGCCCTCTCAGTTTGACTACGCCTTGTGTCACAAACTGCACTCCATCTCTCGTCGGCCAGTTGCCGTATTTGACGCAATTTTGCTCCAGTAGCTGCCCCCGTGAGAGCTCAGCGTCATGGAAGCTCTGGTGATCTCCATGATACCGGCATTTGAAGCCGGCAGCGAGGCGGACATCTGCAACAAGTTACAGGAATTTAACAAAGAGGTACGGCCAACATCTCGGAGCAGAATCTCTGGAAAGAGTCTTTGTAATTCTTGGAGATACAAGTCTTTAAAGTTTGGAGATTATGCTGTACAATCGGTCAAAATGTCTTTGACCCGTATCTCAAAAACTAGCAAGCAAAAATGTAGTTTCTCAAATGAGCCCCTAGACTTGTTTCATGCATGCATATATCAATAACCACACTGACATGTACAACGTTTAATCTGCTAGGGGTCGGCTGAAATGTGTTGAATTGACAAGATGCGGCCCAAATGCAATGCTGCAGTTTGGTTGTGTGATGGTTTTTCCTCCAAATCACTCCATTTCTTGCACATGTTTTTTGTTTACCTCCCTCCATGAAACCTGGTTTCCTTTTATCTCGTCCGTCCTCAACTTCCTCAACATCTTGTCTTTCATTTTCAGAATGCGCAGACATTTTTCTTCCCAGAGCTGGGATCTGAAACTAAAAAGGTGGGTTTGCTTTCCCTGCAGAATTCAGATCAACTTTTGCTCTCTCTGTCTGCTCCTTGTTTCCCTCAGCTCGGCTAGAAGCTGTGGCAAGATTTACGTCATTTAGGTCTAGTGTATCAATGTGAGTGTTCACAGTGACGCAAATAGTACTTTCACTTACGTCAGTCCTTTGGATGGAATTGTTTTAGTTGTAGTCATAATTCTACCAAAAGTCCAATCTAATTGTGCCAGACTTTCACTTTTACTTCGGCATTTGAGTTAAATTGAGTGAAGCTGTCGAAAACCGAAATCCAAACCTGGATTGCAAAATAAATATTGGATATCCAATATTGGATATTTCTAGCAAGTTAAAATCTGGGCCATGAATCCCCTGGGGTGCTGGAAATTTACTTTTAATTAAATGGCATATGAGATGCGAAATTTGGGGAAAAACCAAGTTTCCAAAAAAATCTTTTTACCGTTGATGAGGGATTACTTTCATCACTGTACACCCACACGATCACTTCTTTTTATAACGTCAGACACCCAAAGACCAGAACAACACCTCCAAAACAAGACCATGCCAAATGCCCATTCCATTTCAGAAATTTATCGGTGACATTTTGCGGTCGCTGGAGGCAGGGTACAACACGGAGTGCTATTGCCTGTGTCTGGAAGCCCTGCGAATCCTGAGCAGGGAGGCTCATCACCTCTACCAGTTGGCTCAGAAGGAGGGCATCCTCTTGCTGATGAGACTGGCTGGCCTGGAGGAGAACCCTGTGAAATACAGCGACCAAGGTGTGGTCATAAGTGCTTGTTTTCCGGCCTGTAGAAATAATTTCTTTTCCCTAGTCCACTAGAGTATTCCAACTAAAGCCTGCATAAAATGAAACGTGTCCCAATGTCATAAAGGATAATTAGTTGGTCATAAAGAATGATCGTCCCCAGCCGTCACGTGCCGTACGCCACATGCTCACACCGAGGACATTGAACCTTTCCTAGCATCAAGGTTCTGGGTCTGAATCACCCGACACAGTATTACAATTACCAGTCCTGCACATCCCTCGGACAAACTTGTGTGCCAAAATGAGAGAAGCATGCAAGCGACGATCAAAGCATATTATCGTAATCACTATTTTGTGTCTCTTGTGTTTGCACCGTTCCCGTGTCAGTTATTACTGAGGCCGAGAAATGCCTGTGCAATCTTACCTACAACAGCAGCCAAGTACAACGTATGTGCCAGTAAGTTTCCTGCTCGCTGTTCCCTGATAAATAGAATAGTCACTGTCTGGTACACTCGGCGTTTCGTTCTTGTTGGTGGGGTCATTCCATGAGGTCGGGGCACAATTTGTGACGGTGTCCTTAGTTACGTGGGTTCCGTAAAACTGAACAGCTACATGTATTTCCCTGCATGTGGATTCCAAATTGTACATCTTGCAAAGCTGAATACAGAGGGGTGTGTTATTTTTACAGAGTAAATGACCTACTCTACAGGTCATGACAGGTGGTAAAAGTTACCCATCTAACAAGGACACCTGTCACAAATTGTGCCCCAACCTAATGGAATGACCCGGTAGCATATAGAACTATTGAATTCTACATTAAACCACCCATTCTTATCGTCCAAAGTCCGACGAGCCAGACTTCACCATGCATTCATGTATAGACAGTCGACTCTCCTTAAAACAATGCTCTAGGGACCAGAGAAAACACATTGTTTAAACCAGGACTTTGTTATAAGAGGAATGGAAAAAAACAAAGAAAGACGTAAGAATTCAAGAAATTGGGATTCTCAAAATATTGTCATTATAATCGTATTTTGTTATGAGAGTCAACTGTATATATCTAATGATACCATTCTAGTTTCGGGTATAAATGACTGTTTGAATTCAACATTGATCTTTGAGTGTCATATTGCTTAACGCCATTGAGTCCTGACATCATACATGCATGTCTTTCTGTTGTTGAAGTTCATGAGGTACAACCTCCCTGGTCTGCCTGTTCACTTTTTCAATACTGGGTACTTTGCATTTTGTTTAACAAACTGGTCTTTGGAGTCTGTGGTACAGCACTACAGATTTTGTACATTGGTTTTTCTTTGCCATATTTCTCCTATTTAGAGAGAACGATTGCGTCAAATACCTCATGAACAGGGTTAGATCCTACCCCAGCAGCAAACCGCAGATATCAAGTGACATAAAGGTAAGAGAGACTTCTTTTACTCCGTCTCTCTCCTTGTTACCCTCAAACACAGACTTGCTAGGAAATTCTACATCCAATTGACCTGCTTAAAAAGCCAGAATGATGCTTACTCTAATGACAAACCCACTTTCCGTGCTCCCTGTTTGTACTCGTTCATTGATTACTTTTTTGGTTGATTTGTTTACTGTAGTTCTTTGACATGAGGTTACTGTTCCTGATGACAGCACTGTGCCCTCAAACAAGGTGAGAACAAACCAAAAATGCCAATGTGAATTGAAAATGGGTAGGTTTTGCGTTGACCTGAACAATTTGTTTTTTCCAAAAGTAAAGAATAAAATTCAGATGACCTCACAGCCTAAGGCCTGACCTTTTTGCGCCAATATAGTTGCACGGGCCTCAATCTAACTTGAATTTTGACAAATAAATTTTACAGATTATCTGAACTGTCCACAAGGATTGAACCATTTATGTGTGTTTTATTTCTTTTTTAATGTTTTCAGAGCACTTGTGAGAAAGGACTACAATGGAATCGAGCTGCTGATCCAAGTCCTTGAATCCGATGTGTTGGGATTCCCTCCGGCAATGCCGAACCCTGACACAACAGCAGTGCAAGAGACTGAGCCACAACCCCCAACGGAGAGCACCTCTGTTGCATCAGGCTCGCCTTCACTAGAGGGTGAAGGGACAGAGACGAATGTAGGGACAGCAGCGGTCATAGACACAGTGACTGACACAATGTCAGAATTGGCCAAAGGAACAGTGGCAGATGCCGCGGCGGATGCTCCGACAAACACAGTGACAGACAAGGTGACAGCAGCCACCAGGGACCCACTGGTGGTAGAGTCGGTGAAGTTGACCACGGAACAGGCTGATTTGGCCTGCGAAGTCTTCAAAGCGTTGTTCAACACCGTCATACACACAAAGTCAAAGGAGCTAGAGACGGTAAGATATTTAACCCGGTGCTTCTACCCGTCTGCCTCAAGCAGAAGTGCCCCCTCATCAGTTGGAAAAGAGCCATGTCGGTTGGGAGTGTTCAGTTTGTTGCTAGCGATGCATCAGTAACACATGCATTTCATAGTTTGTTAGTGAACCAGCGAAGTGCATTTCTGACCAAAGGAGCCTCCATCGCCAGGAAAATTGCACCCTCTCTTGGTCCAACTCAAGGGTTTATAGTGGAGTCTGTCGTATGCAACTTATCTTCCACCTCTGTAACATTCAAGATGTATGGTGTAGATTCAACCATCCATAGCCATCAGCGTTGTCCAGAAATGAGAAGTTCTTTGTAATTTTGTCGTGAAGTTCAAATTATTTATATCTCTTTTGTGAAATGTAGGAGTTGGAGCCAGGTGTCTTAAGACGTTTAGGGAGAGCCTGTCGATGTGTCCTGCTGAGCGAGTCGGTAACACCTGCTAAGATGGAAGAGTGCCATAGGTAAGTGTGCCACGTGCACGGGGAGTCAATATCCTCGGCAAATCCTTGCTGGGAACCGGGCAAAAACAGTGCACGTGGAATGGCATTTTGGTTGTTGACCTTGTTTGTGTCCTTATGAGCTTGTGCTCCAAGAAATATCACCCCAGGGTGTGAAGGGATTCCATTTGATGGAGTTCTTATCTCTAAGAATCTCTTTGAATCAATGTAGATCCAGCTTAGAAGAGAGAATTTGACTTAAAATCAACTCATCAGCCAAAGCCTGCATAAAGTCGTGCCCTGTGTCTGGTTAGTGTATAGGTCTTCGATGTTTAGCCAGTTGAGTTTTTGCTGGCTCTTTTGCTTGAAGATTTTGGGGATGCTATTGAGAGTTTTAAAGTTTGCATTTTAACTTGCAGCCAGACCATTAACTTGATGACCTGCGCCCTGCCATTGGCATGCATACAAGAGCTGACCCCGGAACCTCGTGGGGGAGCGACCGGGGGGGACTTGCTGTTTGAAGGCCGCAGCACGGATGCCATCGTCAGCATCCTCAAGTTTCTGGAGATGAGAGTAGATAGGGTAAGATTGGGCTTTGGATGAAATATAAGTCCTGTCAAAAAGGTTTCCCAAAATCCTGGGCAGTGGACTCAGGGCCTAGTGGCATAGAACCTCTAACTGGAAAGTAATTTTTTTGTAAAGTTTTGTGCTTAGCAAGATTCAACTGGGAACCAGTCATAAGGGCTTTACGTTGTGTGACATTTTGGTTGGTATCCTGTTTTGGTTAAGCAAGTATTATCTATGCTTTTAGAGATTTCTGTGCGTGTAGCAGATCTTTGAAAATTGGTCTTAGGCTGTTCCAAATCACTTGGCTGTGGCTTAATTTATACACATCCCTATGAGAACTGGCTGTGGCTTAAATTAACACATCCCTATGAGAACTGGCTATGGCTACTACCATAGACTCCTGTGTAATTTCAAGCCACTGTTAAGTAATTTAGACACTGGCTATGACTACAAGAAGTGAACTTGTTGGGGGCAGTAGACAGTGAGTCTTGGTTCTTTAGTTCTAGAACAAGTGGTTGTAGCGTCTTGGAAAGTGGAGTCCAGGTTCTATGAGTGGTGCTCCAGAGTATCAAGTTCTGGGTTCAAGGATGTTGAGAAGGTGCCATTTGGTAGCAGGTGCTAAGGTATAGATGGATTTCACATTAGCGCTGTCTGCGCATATCCGCATCGAAACCGAGGCTCTCTGTGTTAAACTTTATCGCGCACGCCCTCGGAGTCCACACAGTACATGGAGTATCCCGCTCGTAAGTGTGACACCACTTCAGCTTCAACCACGCCCACTGCACAAGATAAACGACCGTCGCAGGTAGTTCGCGGTAAATTGCCGTCATTTTTTCTTTTGACTTCACATCTCGAGTCCTCCTGAAAGACTCTTCCACAAAAGTTTGCAGCCTGAAAAGTCTGAATTTAACATACCTTTATGTATTTTGTGTCTTGACTCCTTACTTTGAATCGTCGTATCGTATTAAGAATTGAAGCTGACACATACAGCCTCGTTTTCAAACGCGGAAGTGCGCAGATCGACGCTAAAAGCATCGTATTGGGATCCCTCTATTGGCTCTTGGTTTAACGGCAGACAGCTCATAGAACATTAACGTCTCGGTTCCTGAGGAGGTATCATTAATAACCTATTGAGTCTCTGTCTTTAAAAGTAAACCATTATTATAGTCAGTGCACATTGAAATTTGACGTCATGCTCCACTTGTTTTTTTTTTCCGTTAAAAGGCCGCAGCTGCCAAGAAGCTCCATGTTGTGGAGCAGCTGAATCCAGTGCTTAGCGCCCTCTGTGTTCTGAGCAGGACCAACCGACATATACGCAGATACCTGAAGAAAACGGTTGGTAATCGCACTTTCTTCTTCCAAGTTTTGCGTTCAGCATCTGTGCCTGAAGTTTGCAATTTCTTCCCTATTGCCAAGAAATGGACTTGAATCTTAAATGTAAACTCTTTCCTTTCATTCTTAACTGTGAGGGGTCTGATTCCGCTCATTACACACCAAATCAGTTACCCCTGCTGTTCTGATAGCAATTGGACTCGAACCAGTCACCACTAGATTTCTGGTCACAGTTCTGCACCACAGAACCACACTCCTTGCATATCCTGTGTGATAGGTTCTACATCAGTCAGTGTCGATCAAATATACCATCCATTGGCCTAATTAAGAATATCCAATTCCAACAATTAACACGCTTTATCCACCTGTACAGCCAGGTTTGTACCAAATAATCTGAAATTGGGTGGACTTGGACCAGTGACCATTCATCTGCTTGCCACAGTGTGACACCCCAGTACTGCTGTTCTTGCATTGCCCGCATTACAGGTTCTGCCTCCTCTTAACAAGGAGCAAGCGTGCAACCTGCCTGAGGAAGGCGGAAGCCTGCGCAATAAGCTGGTCCGACTCATGACCAACCACTCCACCGATATCAAGGAAGTGGTGGCCGACTTCCTCTTTATCCTCTGCAAAGAATCAGGTGAGTTGAGATGACTGTCGACGTTTCCTAATTGCCTGTATGTATGCAGCTGTGCCAAAATACAATATCACAGAGAATGTTCTCCTATCCAAAAAGTCTTGAAGTATCTTCTGTCATTCTCCTGGTCGACAGATCACACCTTTTCCAAACCGTGCTCTCGTTCTTGTATAAAAAAAAAAGAAACCATCTTTCTCATTGCAGTTACTCGTCTGATCAAATACACTGGCTATGGCAATGCAGCAGGGATGCTAGCGAGGCGTGGTCTCCTAGCAGGTGGCCATGGCAATAGAGACTACAGCTCAGATGACGAAGACAGCGACACAGAAGAGTACAAGGACATCAGGGATGAGTGAGTGTATCCCCCAAAATTATTAAAAGTAACTTCTCTTTTTCAATGCAATGGTTTTTAGTAAAAGGAGCACAGCCCCAAGATCATGTGCTAAATGTGAGGACATTGTTGACCTTTGACATAGGAGTCATCTCATGTAAATATGCACGTTTCCGCAAACTACACATAATTTTTTGGTTCCAAATTTGTGAGGACCACACACCTGTTATTACAAGGACGCTCAGCATTGTGGGATACATGAAAGTGCTCACAATGTAGTCCATGATTTCTGAATGCCAGATATCATCTCCTCAATACATGGCGTCCCTACCCATTGCATTCTGCATCACCCCTACTGGGGTACTATCCATTGCATTCTGCGTCG